GATGCCATGTGTGATTTTATGTAGAGTTTCAGAAGCACCCTGGAAAGTCCATGCAGCTACAGCTTTTGCTGATTCAGACATAAACACTGCTTCTTGAAGCAGTGGGATATTTATACTAGTGGCCATGGTATTCCCATAGCTATAAAATATATGACCACAATTAGTGGGCAGAAGCAATTCTCCCTGGAAAAATCATTCTACACACATTGCCATCCCAAAGGCTTTGACCTAAGATTGTTATCTGTCATCATCTTCTTTACTGCATAAACCACCCAGACCCTTCTGTGGGAGCCATTCAATCAAGACAAACTTCCCTTTCCTTTGATAAAGAGAGGAAATTTCTAGACTGATATCTTTGGACTAGTATCACTCTGAAGCTCTGTCTCAATTGACTTCTATGCTCTTATATGTAATTTTTCATAATAATTTTCTTCCCCCTCTCTTTTCCATAAGACTTATTCTTTCTGCCTAAAAAAAGTAGCACATGACACCAAAGCTTTCTAAATCCATGTGGAAGTTGTTAGCAAACACTAATATTTTGTTCTTCCTCTCATTTTCCAAGTTTGTTTCTGATTCCAGTGGATATCCCAAGAACTCTTCTTGTTTGGGCACAGATGTCGTGTAAATCTTGGTCAGTTCTTCTCACTAGAAAAGTGTTTGATGAAGGGCACACACATTTCTCACCATCAAACTCTACAGATAACAGTTGGGAGTTTGGGACTTCCTAATGCCTTAAGCATGTGAAAATTTAAGAACCAACCTACAACTTCAAATGTCAATCAGTAAAGAAGAAAATCTTTCTCTTTTATAAAGCACTGGGTGACAAAAATATTCCGAATTCTGAAATATTGAAGATGGGACTGGAGAAACTCTTCCACTGGATGCACTCCCTGCTCCATTCTAATTTACCACCATGCAGAGACAATGCTAAGTGACCATCAAACTTCATTTTACAGCTGTCTTCCAAGAACGTGATGATGACTACATACCAGCTAGCTACAGTGCAAGTAGGTAAAACCATGACTCTGTCAAGGCTTTAAAATGTGTGTAGAGGCAGTGTGGCTGGAGATGGACGCTCCACCATGGTGAAAGTGGAGCCCGATTCAAGCAGCCTAGTGTGCTGAGACACTACATGGAAAACAGTGGAGAATCGGCTTTTCATGAGTGATAAACTTCTGTTGCTTTAAGCCAAAAGATTTGAAGTTTCATTTGTTACTGCACAACATAATCTCTCCTATCTTGATTAAAACAAGCTTCATTTGGGGCTGGCGCTGTAGCACCTACCTAGGAGACCGGGAAGAACTTCCTGGCTCCTCGCTTTGGATAGGCTCAGCCCCAGCCATTGTAGCCATTTGGGAAGTGAACCAGCAAATGGAAGACCTTTCTCTCTGTCTCTCTGTAACTCTACCTCTCAAATAAATAAATAAAATCTTCATAAAAAGAGCATCATATACTTATAGACATTTCCACAGTTTCTTTTCTTTATATTTGAAAGGGAAGTCCCTTTAGTCAATGTGACATTTCCAAGAGCCTAGAATGCAGATCCCCGGCATTTGGTTCATTGTTCTATTAACAACAAAGATTACAATATAACACAGTGTAACAGCTATGACAAATAAATTGATAACATGAATTTTAGAAAATATGTGCATGTGTATATATATGTGTGTGTTTAATAAATATCATTAAATGTGTGCAAATGCAGAAGTATGAGATCTTCAGTTTGTGGAAAATTTATATTATGAGAGAACTATGCAGGACTTCAAAGTTTTTTGTACAAAAATAAACTTGTCTTTTAATTGCACTTTTCCATAAACTCTATGAAACTCTTCACTTATAACTGACAAATACAGATGTGAGAATAGCTTTGTCATCATTTTTTACATGTTGAAACTTGATGCTATTCATTTTGAGAAAAATTTGTCAAACTATATTGCTGTTTTAACCAGAAAGTCCCTTAGATATTTACATATTTCATTTTTCCTTTGTTATAAATAAATGAAGAAATTGAGGTGCAGGAAGTAGAACAAGTTTCTAAGTTCCTGATAGCAGTTGGTAACTGAAGCAAAACAAGAATTTTGCCCCTTCCCACCCCTCCATATTCTTTGTGCTGTGTTTAAAGTTTTTACTTTGCCTCTCAAGTTGCAGAACCATAGAAAGTTGAAGTCATGTGGTTCGGTATGAGGGGAAAAAGAATAATTTCCTGCACAAAAGTGGAAGGACAAGGAAAATATTCAGAATCAGAAGGTGAGGTGTTAGGGGGTGGAAGAGGAATTAGTGTGACTAGAAATGAGTAGGAAATTATGATAACTAAAATGAATCAAGCAAGGTGGTCTTTGACTATTCAGGAGTTCATAAGACCTTTGGAAGGATGATTTTGAGGAAGACAGTAAGTTGGTAGTCTTTAGGAATTCTACATTATTATTATCTGCCAGGGATTAGGAACAAAGCAAAACCGTGTGAAGAGAATTGCTGTCCATTACATAAGACTGAGGTAGTCATCTGAATTCCTCATGGGAGAGATGTGAGGAAAAGAGTGTCTTTCTAGCTCCTGTTTTTTCCCTTGTGGTTGAATACACTATTGGGATAAATAATCTCCTACCTTTTGTGCCTGTGTGTCTCTGAGTAAGGCTTTCCTTTTTGTGCTGTTTTAACCTATTTTCTTGGTGAAGTACTAATGCCCTACATTCAAATGACCCTCTGTTCTGAACTGGGAAGTAAGTAAGGAAGTAAGTAGGGAAATAAGTAAGGAAGGAAGGCCCTGAGGTCCAACCTTCTCTACTAGATATCCGTTTAATTTTTAATGGTCAAAAAAAAATGCAATTCCTTCAGAAACATCTGCTTGAAAGATAATATTGCAAATGATGTCATGTTTGTGATGTATTCTACATTATAAAACTGATATACATATATATATATGTACATATCATACACCTGTACATAAGTCCAATAACCATTTTCCACAATACAGGATGAGAATAAATATCAAATATATGATTCTACACACAATGATGCCATACAATCTCTCTCTTTTGGTTAGCTTTAATGGTCTCTTCACTCTCCAACCAGTAGAGGCTTTTTAAAAAGTGTTATGCCCAGCTGAAAGCAAAGACGGATCCCAGGTAGCATATGATTACTCAGACAGCACCTATTTACCTCCACCTTAATTAAGAAAGGAAGCAATACTCAGCTGAAAAAATGATCCATACAGCATTGTCTCCTAACCACATCCTGCCCTATGGCTCCATAATATTTTAGATATATATTCATTATACACTTTAATTTTTAATTTTGTATTATTCATATTTGTAAGCCCCTCCTATTAAGCTATAAATAATTTAAAGCAAAAGATTGTTTCACATATGTCTGTATCCCCATCACTGACATCAAAATTAAGGTTCTAAGGTTTTTTGTGTCAATAAATAAATGAATAAATTGGTATGGAAGTAATAATTTGATAAGTAAGATAAAGAAGCCTGCAAATGTGAATAAACTACATGTGCAGAAGGAGAGAAAGTTATCATGAAAAATGGTTCTAGTTTGGCTGATGGTTTTACATCTGTCTGTCATTCAAGGGGGTCAGTCTGTCTGACAGCCTTCTTCTTTCTAGGTGGAATACTTTTCCAGGTGTATAGAAATATCTGTTCTTACTTTGGGAAATATAAAGTAAAAGCAAGACTCTGTGAAATCAGAAATCAGGGAAGGGCCCAGAAAGGTGATCACTAGTAAAGTCCATTCTCTAACAACAAAAGAGAAAATGGCCTCTCCAACTAACCTAGATAGTTTTGTCACATTTTCAATAGCTGGAGACATAGCGAGTGCAGGGTGAAAGGAAGTGATAAGTCTGACATGTGAGATTTGCCTAAGTCCTGAGCAGAGAGCACACAGAAAAGTGCCGAAGTGAAAATGAGGAAGTTTAAGCAACCTTAACAGCAGCATCCAACAGCTTGATCATCAGTATTGTGTTCTTGAGAAAACTGGGAGTAACCATGAGTCTTACGAGCAAGACCTCCCAGACAAGCAAGATTCTCTACTGCTTTGTTCCTCATCTTCTAGCTGAATATAATACCAGACACTTACTCACAAGAACCATTTGCAAGGTGTTTGTAACATGACTTGAAATCCTTCAGATAAAAGTGACTTTCTGAAGACAAAGCTGTGGTGATAAATCTCACTTCCTCACAGCTTCCTGTAACTTGCTCTGCTTCCTAAAACTTAATTCTCTGTGTTGACCTTGCTTAGCTTGCTTTTTACTTTAGATAAGCCCTTCTATTAATAATTTACTCATTTCTCATTTACATTATGTTATGCTTGTTTTCTTAAGGAAGTAAGAGTATTGATTTTAATTCTATATCATGAAGAAAATTATTTCTGACCTCTGTATGTACAGAAGATATGCACTTAAGCTGCCACTCTTGCAAGCCATAAAATGCCCTACTGAATCATGAATATTAAAGGAAATAACTTTTCATCTTGGAGCCAAGAGTGTATACCTCCTTGGGAAAAATAGGGCTATTTAATTTTAAGAAAAGTAATTAATTGAGAAGCTAATATTGTGGCAAAGCAAGTAAAGCTGCTGCCTGCAATGCTGGCTTCCCATATGGGCCCTCATCTGTCCCATCTGCTCCACTTCTGATCCAGCTCCCTGCAAAAAGCCTGGGAAAAGCAGCAGAAAATGGCCCAAGTGTTTGGACCCCCTGCTACCCACATTGGAGACCTGGAAGATGCTCCTGGCTTCCGTCTTTAGCCTGGCCCAGTCCTGGCCCTTCCCTTGCTGTTGCAAACATCTGGAGAGTGAACCAGCATATGGAACAGCTCTCGATCTCTCTTTCTGTCTCTCCCTCTCTGTAACTCTGACTTTCAAATAAATAAATAGAACATTAAGAGAAAAATAAATAAATAATTAAATTAAGTTGGAGTTGTGGAAAATATAGAAGAATATGAGTGCTAATTATAAGAAAAATCCAAATATTATTGTCATGATACAAGAGGAAAAATTTATAGTTATTAATCATTTCATGTTACTCTATTTTCTTCATGAAGTGACTCGCTTCATTAGGGTTTACTAATCATTACCTTAGCTTCCCTGGTTACTAATTTTTTCCTATTTGTCCAACCACTCCATTGAGGTATGTGAGATTATGGTCTCAGAATGAGACTTCACATATACACACAAAAGTTAACATTTAACCATGATGTAATTAAAGTTTCTTAAGGAGAATTTTGTTCTAAGTTCACCACAGAATTATAAGGCTTTTTATGTGTACATGATATTACTACTCACTCCTCCTGAAATAGAGTTTTCTGAATTTTGTGAAATTTTTCCTCCCTAAGGTGTTTAAGGTAGATGTGGAAAGAAGTGTGGAAGGAAGGATCTCTGTGAAAGTAAAAGTTAAAGAGGAACCAATTACAGAACTGATTTGTAGTGGACTCCAAACTCGTAGTATTTCTTGAGTTCTTTGTTCATATTATGATGTCACACACCAAAACACCTTCAAAGTTGCAGTATTCAGACATACATCAATTTCTGGGTGCTGAAGCATCTCATCTCTTCAGGACCATAGTCATCACAGCCCTCACCACTGCCTCCCTAACTGAGAACACACTGGCTTCTTCTGCCTTCCAGGTTTACCTGTCCTTATAATCTACCCCAGACTCTTTACAGGTCGCTTATGTAAGGTTGTCTTTTCCAGCTGTTTTCTTATCTCTCCAATAACACCATGAACTCCATGAAAACATGGTGTCTTTTTGCAAGCACCAAAAAATAAGAAAAATCCAACACTATATATGATATTTTTATATTTTCAGCCTCTGCAAAGTACATGACTCATAGCAAATGTCCAACAAATGTTTAATTAATTAGTTAATTCCAGTACCTGAAGAATGATTTATATTATTTTTCTAGGACATAAATATAGCATTTTGCATTTCAGTAAGTATGTAGTGATAATATAATTCTGCACCTATTAATCTTAAATGTTATCACAACAGAACTATAGAATGGAAAATAATCAATTCTGTGCTGTTTTCTGCTAAAGATAAAACATTTAAAAATTAAAAGCCCACAGTGAATCATGTAACTTTCTGAGAAAGGTATGGCTTCCCTCTTGCTTCAATTTAAACACCATTACTCAACAACTGTAAAGTCCAAAGAACATTAGAATATCAGTAGCTGTGATTTCTTAGCATGATTTTCTAATCTGCGGGTTTACACACTCATCCTATTGGTTAAGGCAATTTTTATTGTAATTATTGTTTTTAGCATTATTTAGATCTAAGTACTAGTGTGCTAGATATTCTTCACGATAAGGGATTGCTGAATATACCTCTAAATGTTTGTTCAGTTATTCATATAAGAAACCTTCATTCCAACGGCATGTAAGGAAAAAATCAATATGTAGTTAAGATGAGGCATGCATTAGTGCTCAGAAACAACAAATTGCTTTTCTCAATATCAAAACACTTGGCAAGATGGCTTATTTTATATTATCAATATTAATCTTTTATTTCCTAGAGGTAAACTATACAGCAAATTAGCTGATAATCAATCAAATAAGATAAGGAAAATACATTAAGTGAGGTCTGTGAGGAAAATCTTTTACGTACTTGTTATCCACCTCCACATAGATTTATTGATATATGAATGTATATATATATATATGTATATATATAAAATAGATAGCAAGTAACTCTAAATGGTTGTCTACTGATAATAATTACATTTTGGAGCCACATTTTGTCAAGTTGATTCTACACAAAAGAGTTTTATTATCCAATCAATAAAGCTATAATTGGCTCTTTTAACTGATGATATCCTATCAAATACTTTAATCAAACCTTCAGGACTTCTTGAAGTCATGTTAAAGGCATCTTGAAAAATTAACATTTCACATATGGTTAGAAATTCAGAGATTTGATTAACTCCTAAGACAGGAAAATTCAGGAGTAATGTTCAGTAGTTGTTTTTTATTTCAATTCATCAAGTTTTCTCAATAAATAAACACTAGTCCAATAAGTAAATTTCCATATCCGTTTTGTAATCTCTGATGTCTCATTCCATATGTGTATTCCTACAGATTCTATCCCCATATGCAGTATCAAATTTGATGTCCAGTAGCCTCTCTCCTTTCGCCTGCATTAAATTCACACCACATGCCTCCACCAGCTATTGTGTAATTAAACTTGCTACTACTGACGCTATAGCAGAAACCACTGAAAATAGAATGGTAACTGGTGTGTGGATGAAAAAAGTCTATTTGTTACCATTCATTAAGTCAATTCAGCCATTATAAATTAACAGAAATGGAGTATTCTCCATATTTCCTGTGAAACTCCGCTTAAGCCTCATGGCCTAAATGCTGAGATGGGGTGCTCTGTAGGGAAATGGCATGCATAAGGCTGAATATTTAAAAGCACTTTGCAGTCTGGAGCCAAAATGACCCAGATCTCATTCATCCCCATATCAAGTTTGTTTGGCATTTGGCTAATGTGTAATTTTGTTTTGACATGAATCATTGAAACTTAAACAATGTTAAATCCATTCAACATGGATTAAAGATCTAAATCTATGACGTGACAACATCAAATTAATAGACAACACTGGAGAAACCCGACAAGATATAGGCACAAGCAAGGACTTCTTGGAAAAGACCCTGGAGGCACAGGCAGTCAAAGCCAAAATTAACATTTGGAATTGCATCAAATTGAGAAGTTTCTGTACTGCAAAAGAAACAGTCAGGAAAGTGAAGAGGCAACCAATGGAATGGGAAAAAATATTTGCAAACTAAGCAACAGATAAAGGATTAATAACCAGAATCTACAAAGAGATCAAGAAACTCCACAATAACAAAACAAACAACCCTTGAGAGATGGGCCAAGGACCTCAATAGACATTTTTCAAAAGAGGAAATCCAAATGGCCAAAAGACACATGAAAAAATGTTCAAATCACTAGCAATCAGGAAAATGCAAATCAAAACCACAATGAGGTTTCACCTCACCCCAGTTAGAATGGCTCACATTCAAAAATCTACCGACAACAGATGCTGGCGAGGATGTGGGGAAAAAGGGACACTAACCCACTGTTGGTGGGAATGCAAACTGGTCAAGCCACTATGGAAGTCACTCTGGAGATTCCTCAGAAACCTGAAGATAACCCTACCATACAACCCAGCCATCCCAATCCTTGGAATTTACCCAAAGGAATTTAAATTGGCAAACAAAAAAAGCTGTCTGCACCTTAATGTTTCTTGTACCTCAATTCACAATAGCTAAGACCTGAAATCAATCCAAATGTCCATCAACAGTAGACTGGATAAAGAAATTATGGACATGACTCTATAGAATACTATACAGCAGTAAAAAAAAAAATGAAATCCGGTCATTTGCAACAAAATGGAGGAATCTGGAAAACATCACGCTGAGTGAAATAAGCCAGTCCCAAAGTGACAAATATCACATGTTCTCCCTGATCAGTGACAACTAACCATGCACAAAAAAGGAAACCTGTTGAAGTGAAAGAGAAACATTGAGAAACAGTGACTTGATCAGCCGTTGCCCTGACTGTCGAGGAACAACTTAATACTTAATCTCTTTTAGTATTTTTTTGTCCTACTTAATACTATCATTTGAACTCTTTAATTAACACACAATTTTATTATTAGGTGTGTAAATTTAACTGAAAAATGATCCCTGTTAAATATAAGAGTGAGGATAAGAGAGGGAGAAGATGTACAGTTCGGCACATGCTCAATCGGACATGCCCCAAACAGTAGAGTTAGAAACGTGCCAGGGGATTCCAATTCAATCCCTTCAAGATTGCATGTACCAATGCCATCTCACTAGTCCAAGAGATCAATTTCAGTTCACAATTGATCACACTGATAGGTCTAAGAGTCAAAGGGATCACTTAAACAAGAATAGTGTCTGCTAATACTAACTGATAGAATCAAAAAGAGAGAGAATGATCCAACATGGGAAGCAGGATACACAGCAGACACATAGAATGACAAATGTCCTAAATAGCACTCTGGCCTCAGAATCAGCCCTAAAGGCATTTGGATCTGGCTGAAGAGCCCATGAGAGTATTTTAGGCATGGAAAGCCAAGACACTCTGGGGAAAAAAAAAAAAAAAAACCCTAAATGAAAGATCTCTGCAAGTGAGATCCCAATGGAAAGAACGGGTCATCAAGAAGGAGGTACCTTTCTCTGAAGGGAGGAGAGAACTTTCACTTTGACTATGACCTTGTCTAAATAAGATCAGAGTTGGCGAACTCAAAAGGCTTTCATAGCCTTGGAAACTCCTGACAAGAGCCTAGGGTGATTACTGATGCCATAAACAAGAGTGTCAATTTGTTAAGTCAACAACAGGAGTCACTGTGTACTTACTCCTCTTGTGGAATCTCTGTCTTTAATGTGTTGTTCAATGTGAATTAATGCTAAAACTAGTACTCAAACAGTACTTTACGCTTTGTGTTTCTGTGTGGGTGCAAACGGTTGAAATCTTTACTTAATATATGCTAAATTGATCTTCCGTATATAAAGATAATTGAAAATGAATCTTGATGTGAATGGAATGGGAGAGAGAGTAGGAGATAGGAGGGTTACAGGTGGGAGGGAAGTTATGGGGGGGAAAAGCCACTGTAATCCAAAAGCTGTACTTTGGAAATTTATATTTATTAAATAAAAGTAAAAAAAAAATGTTAAACGAAATATTTGATTTCTACATAAAACCTTTCTTAAAATATAAAGTCTGTAAGTATATATTTAAAGCCTTTTAAAATGCCTTAGCCAACAGAAAATAATTACACATAATAGTCTGAAGACTCCTGACTTTTCTTTTTTGAAGGGGTAGGCTCTTCTGTGCTTATTGATGTGAAAGGTAAATTATTTCAGTGTGAACTTGTCTCCTCATGATGAGATGACATATAAAAACTCAATGTATATCAGAAAATCTAGAAATTTGAATCATCAGTGACAAGGAATGCAAAGTTCACAAACACCAGAGGGTAAATCTCTGCTTCAACTGAGCAGTTGCTACTTTTTTTTTTTGACAATTTATTTTTTTTTAATCTTTTATTTAATGAATATAAATTTCCAAAGTACGACTCATGTGTTACAATGGCTTCCCCCCCCCATACCATCCCTCCCACCCACAACCCTCCCCTTTCCCACTCCCTCTCCCCTTCCATTCACATCAAGATTCATTTTCGATTATCTTAATATACAGAAGATCAGCTTAGTATACCTTAAGTAAGTATTTCAACAGTTTGCTCCCACACAGAAACATAAAGTGAAAAATAATAGATGATTTTTTTTAAATGATGATGAAATCAGATCAGACCTATTGTCATGTTTAATCCCAGTGAGAGTCAAGTTGGGAATTGATAATTTCTTTCTTTCTTTTTTTTTTTTTTTTACAGAAGATCAGTTTAGTGTACATAAAGATTTTCAGTCGTTTGCACCCCCCATAGAAAACACAAAGTGAAATATACTGTTTGAGTACTCGTTATAGCATTAAGCCTCAGTGTACAGCACGTTAAGGACAGAGATCCTACATGAGGAGTAAGTGCACAGTGACTCCTGTTGTTGACTTTACCAATTGACACTCCTGTTTATGGCATCAGTA